GGGCTCCAGGGCCCGGGGCGCCGTCTTTGCCCCTGATCCCCGGAGAGGACGCCTGCCGACCTCCGGGATCCCAGCCCGGTGGGACCCGGCCCGGATTCGAACCCCGGCCTCAGTGCGCAAGGCGCTTGGGAAAACAGGCTCTGTCCCGGGGCCGCTCAACGGAAATGTTGGCTCGCAATCAAACGTTTGCTGCAGGATTCTGTGTGTGGATGGAGAGAGGGCCTGGATAGCTGCGGTTCACCTATGCCCGGCCCGGCCTCCTGGAGTATGGGTTCCTTTTCGGAAAGCTGAGAGGCCTAAGCAGAGCTGTGGTTTCAAATTACAGCCCAGCAGAGCTGTGCGGCCTCGGGTAGCTGCTTAACCTCTCTGTGCTTAGTTTGTCAGTCAGGCCAAGTCTGGGCGGTGGAACCACTGAATGCTGGATCCAGGCTTAGGCTGTGCTCCCGGAGCGGAGGAGCAACTGGGAGCGTGGCACAGGTGGGGCCTCAGGAAGTGGTCCATGGCCCTGCTTTCTGCCTTACTCAGACTCTCCGTGGGTCGGGGCCGCCGGAGGAGATCGTCAGACTTCGGCTCCTCAAGTCTGGGCCTCCCTCTGGCACGGAGGGCTGTGAGACAGTTGGCATTCGATAGGTGCTGGAGAAGGGAGAGGTTGAAGCCCTGCTGCCTTGGAGACCCTTGCTAGGCTGTGTGTTCGAGGCCTATAGTGGGTGCGGGGAGGAGGTGAGGACCCAGGTGACGCCAGGCCAAGAGGATGTGGTGGCAGGCGGTGTGCTCACGTGTGCGGGCGGGGGTGGGTGAGGGGGGGACAGCAGGAAGTCTGGCAGGAACCTGCAGTTTTCACTTTTGCTTCAGCACCTCAGGCTAGGGAACGATCCCTGTACGTATGGAGTGGCGCACGCGCCTGTCATCCCAACACTCGGGAGGCTGAGGCAGGAAGAGCTCCTCGAGTTTGAGGCAGCCCGGGATGCACAGTCAGGTCAAGACAAACCTGGACGACAGAGCCAGGGCCTGTCTCAAAAACAACAGCAACCAAAAAATAATTCCTGCGGCTGTTGGCACGCGCAGCCTCCCTTCCCAATTTGGATATGGGTGTGGCTGGTCTCCCACCCCTTGGGGTGTCGTGGGTGTCACTGCTGAGCCCCTTTTACCCTCCGAGAGCACTGTCCTGTCCGGAGGGAGGAGCGTACCAGTCCCCGCGAGGGACTCAATTCCCAAGTGACCTCGCGTCCAATCGCCCCCCCACCCCCGCCCCGTCCTTTGAGGCGCATGCGCGGGGAAACTGAGGCTCCGAGGGACGCCTGTGCGGCGCTGTGGACGGGCTGCGCCTCCCCTCCCTCCCTGCGGCCGTCTCCTGTGCTGCCTTCTGACAGTGCTGTTCCCACTCCGGGACACTGTCGCCCCGAGGACCGGGGCCGGCTCCCCGG